CTGGTAGCACAGTGGTTAAGTGCTTGGCTGCTAATGACCTCTCTATGTGAGAAAGATGCTTCCATAAAAAGTACAGCTGTGAAACCCCCTGAGGCAGTTCTCCTCTCTCCTCTTGAGTCACTATGAGACAGCATCTATTCGGTGACAACAGGTCTATCGTGGGACAGGCTCCAAAGTCACATAACAAAGGGGAAGAAATAGAGGACCTTTAATACAAGAATCTAGAATTCCCTGGGTGGCACTAATGGTTGGCAGTTCAGTCGTGCCCAAAGGTACCACAGAAGAGAGGCCTGGCTAATTCGTTTCTGAAAGCTCACATCCAGTGGGAACCCAATGGCGTGCCATTGGACTCTATGGCACACAGGGCCGCCATGAGTTGGAAAGGACTGCGCGACAACTGGTTTGTGGGATACAGAAAGATTTCTCCCAAGTTGTCTCCCCCAAATATATGCCAAACCCAAGATGCTGTTTGCTACACATGGTAAATGACTGTACATTAGGTGAACGAAAGTATGTCAGAAGTTATTCTCCTTGAGGGTGTCTACAGCAACCAGACTGTATAATCTGACTCATCCTAAGGAGGACCCACTCCCGATATTGTTCCCTTGAAGGAGAGCCCGAAGGCAAGTCCAGGACCACTCAAGGATGACGAAGGTTAGGCTACTATATTGAGTCTAGGGTCCACCCATCTTGCCACATAATGTACCCCCATTCCCTCCCTTTACGATGGCATGTACCTCTAGGTCATGCCCCTCCTATTGCTTGTATTGCCTATGTTACAACCCCTTCCTATGACGTAGATTGCTATCTGTAATCAGAGGGCTTGCATGCCCCCAAAGATATATAAACTTCGGTTAGAAATAAAACCTGATAATGTTCTCTCTCCTGCCCCCTTGTCCCACCACCTCCATGTGTACCACCAAGAGGAGCTGAGGTTAGCATGCTACCATGAAATGTGTCTGACTTACTTATTTTACTCTTTCCCTCCCATCTCTCCCATTTCTCTATGACTTTACTATTCTTACTATATCTTAACCGTACAATTGTGCCTACTGAACCCGTGATTAGTTTTGGGGGGCTGGCTACTCCCACACTGGTTTGTAAAGCAAGTATCAGCCATAATTAACTCAAAGAAACCTGTTGGAAATACACATCATTCTTTTTCTCTGTGATTTGCTTTTTCCAGAAAACCAGAGCTATGGCTGCCCCTGCACGCCGTCAGCCAACATTTCTCTTGGTATTGCTGTCCTTGGGGATGGGCCAGCTCAAAGGTAAGTAGGGGAAGGGCTTCATCAACAGAAATGTCCACAGAAAAATGAAAAAATTAGGAAAATAAATCTTGGAATGATTTTTTCTTTGGAACTTGCATTAAGAATTTAAGTTATCACACAGGCTGGTGTGCTTCTTCCATGTGGGCTTTGTTGCTTCTGGGTTAGATGGCCACTTGTTTAACTTCAAGCCTTTAAGACCCCAGACGCTATATCTCTCGATAGCCGGGCACCATCAGCCTTCCTCACCACACCTGCTTATGCACACATTTGTCTTCAGCGTTTGTACGTGGAAGGTGAGCACACAATGATGATTTTTCTTCTTTGGTGTCTGCTACTGGATTCCTTCAACACCTCATGATCACCTAGGCTGGTGTGCTTCTTCCATGTGGGCTTTGTTACTTCTCCGCTAGATGGCTGCTTATTTACCTTCAAGCCTTTAAGACCCCAGGCGCTATATCTTTTGATAGCTGGGCACCATCAGCTTTCTTCACCACATTTGCTTATGCACACATTTGTCTTCAGCGATCGTGTCGGGAAGGTGGGTATCATGGAATATCCGTTTAGTCGAGCAAAGTGTTCTTGTATTGAGGGAGCATCATCATGAATGAGAGGGAGTGCGGGGTGGGGACCCGATGTCAGTCTGTAGGCAACTGGACATCCCTTGCAGAGGGGTAGTGGGGAGGAGACGAGTCACTCAGTGTGAGTGCAGCATTGATGAAACACACAACTTTCCTCTAGTTCCTAAATGCTTCCTTCCCCCCACTATCATGATCCCAATTCTACCTTACAAATCTGGTTAAACCAGAGGATGTACAGTAGTGCAGGTAGGAACTGGAAACATAGGGAATCTAGGACAGATGAACCCCTCAGGACCAGTGGTGAGAGTGGTGATACTGGGAGGGTGGAGGGAAGATGGGGTAGAAAGGGGGAACCAATTATAAGGATCTACATATAACCTCCTCCCTGGGGGATGGACAAGAGTAAAGTGGGTGAAAGGAGACATCGGGCAGTGTAAGATATGATAAAATGATAATAATTTATAAATTGTCAAGCATTCATGAGGGAGGGGGAGCAGGGAGAGAGGGAAAAAAATGAAAAGTGAGCTGATTTCAAGAGCCCAAGTGGAAAGCAAATGTTTTGAGAATGATGAGGGCAATGAATGTACAAACGTGCTTTACATAATTGACGTATGTATGGATTGTGAGTTGTGTGAGCCCCCAATAAAATGATTTAAAAAAAGAATTTAAGTTAATATTCAGTTGATTTAAATTAATCGAACCTTAAGGCAAGTTCTCTGGACTTGGCATTCACTAACATGAGATCTGGCACACGCAAACGGTGGTGGCTTTTGTCTTCCTCTCCTCTACCTGGATCACTCATTTTAGTAAGCCTTGCCTTCATCCTTTAGTGCACATTTGGTAGATTTAATCACGTGCAACTTTGAGATGACTGCATTTTGTTTGGCTGTCATGGAAATAAGTTTCTTGTGCACACTGATGGGTAAAAGCATAGCCCTTATCAGACCAATCGGCGTCGGCCCCTGTTGTTGTTAGGCTCCACTGGGGCAGTTCCAACACTGTGGGCCACAGAAGGAAATGCTACCCAGTCCTGTGCCCGCCTCACCATTGTGCTTATGTTTGAGCCCATTGTTGCAGCCACTGTGCCCATCCATCTTGGCGAGGCCGCCTTCTTTTGGACCACCCCACGACTTTACCAAACCTGGGACTGGTCTCTCCTGACCACACATCCACAGTTCTTGAGACAAAGTCTCCTCATCCTTGCCTTTAAGAGGTATTGTGACTGCACTTCTTCTAAGGGAGATGGCTTTTTGGTTGTTCTTTTGTCAGTCCATGCGCTTTCAGCATTCTCCATGAGCCCCACCATTCAAAAACTTAGATTCTTCATTAATCTTCCTTATGCAATGTTCAACTTTCGCATAAGTATGATGAAATTGAAAATACCTTGACTGAATCAGGCACACCCAAGTCCTCAAAGTAGCACCCTGACTTATCAACATGTAATGTCTTCAACACTTACTGAGAAGCTTTTAGCTACAAGAAAATGTTCTAAGTACTGAAATTATATTTATGGGTAAAACAATATATATTCCTCTCTTAACTACTCCTCTTTACAACCCCCACCCATGAAAATACCTGGGGAGAAATCGTCTCTGTAAGTGAGGTCAATATGACTTCAACACCTTTTTACAGGCGGTGGATATGTATAACGAGATTCTAAAACCTGAGAGCATTTTGAGCAGTTTTTAAAGTTTTCATTGCTTTCTACATATTGTACACAACTGTACATATTCTCCTTCCTACGTTTCTCCATTCTTGTAGTCATAACAGGGAGTGTAGCCGTATCCTCTTAACAACTACTCACACAACCCCGGGACTGAATTCACAATGAGGTTTATAAGGAAAACCTATAGAATTTCTCACCTCTGAAAATTCCTTGAAGAGAGACTTGCGAAGAAAAGGAGATTTTGTTTTAATAAGAATGTAATTCTTGGTCTGATATATTTTTTAGGTCTGGGTTTATTTCTTAGAAGTCTTGGCAGATATAACTTTTTAAAATCACGATATGATTATTAATGTATAATTGGGGCTAGACTATGGGAATTCTGTTTTCTCATCTATAATATGTAGGTTACTGGAGTTCATTGCCAACAAGTCAGTTCTCACTCAGCAACAATGGAAGTACAACAGAAGGAAACACCTGCTGGTCCCTCGCAATTCTTACTGTGTTTGATGGCAGTGCTACAACCGCTGTGTTAATCCTTCTCGTGGAAGGTCTTCCTCTTTTTCCTTTTGCACTGACCCTCTGCTCTACCAGGTATAATACGCTCTCTGGGTACCGGCCCTCCCTGCAAAGTAATGCAGATGAGGTCTCTCCATTCATGCCTCTCAAGGAGCATTCTGGCCGTGCTTCTTTTACACTTGATCTCAGCAAAAGGGCCAAGAAGCGATGGCTGTGCTTCTTTTAAGACAGATGTGTTTGCTCCTCTGGAAGTCCATGGTACTGTCCATAATCTTCTCCAATGCCATAATTCTTTTTTTTTTTTTTTTACAAATATTTACCACATGTAATTGCTAACCAAAAGGTCGATACTTGAATTCATCCAAAGATGCCTTGGAAAGGGATCTGGAGATCTGCTTCTGATGAATCAGCCATTGGAAACCCTGTGGGACACAATTTTACTCTGACCTGTATGGTGCTGCCGGAATCAGAGTTAACTCAATAGAAAATTTCATTGTGTTCATAAAGAACATACTACCATCACCATAACATTTCACAAAGGGAAATAAAATACAAGTTCACCAAGTCTTTGAAGTACCAAATTTCGTCACCATTTGCTAGGCACTGTGCACCAGAATTGACTCAATGGCAGGGAGTTTGGTTGGAATTTTATAGGATTATATGCTAAATGACATTATTCCTCAGTCCTGTGCAATGACACAGTAAATTCTTTGGTTTTCCTTTTTCATGGTCCAGTATTTTGCATACATGGATTGGGCCAGGCATACCTTAGTGATATCTTAACCTTTTGATAGTTTAAAGAGGTCTTCTCAGCAGACTGCCCAATACAGTGTGCCACTTGATTTCTTGACGACTGCTTCCAGGGTATTTCCCCACAAAGTAGATTCCCTGATGGGATCAGCGTTTTCCTTCTTGATCATAATATCGATCCAGTTGTGAGAATTTTTTTTATGTTGACCTAAGATTTCACCAAACACGACAGTCTTTGATCTTCATCAGGAAGTGCTCCGATCCTCGTTGGCTTCATCAAACAAGGATCTGTCGTCTGTATAGTCCACGTCATTAATGAGTCTCCTTCCACTCCAGGTGCTGCGTTCTTCTTCACGCAGACCACCTTCTCTGAGTACTGACTTCACATGCAGATTGGATCCGTGTGGTGAAAGGAGGCATTCCTGATACTTCCCTTTCCTGAGTTTAAGCCCTGAGGCGTCCCCTTGTTCTGCCTAACAGCTACCTCTTGATCCACATACAGCTTCTACGTGAACAGAGTGAAGTGTTCTGGATTCCCATTCCTCACAATGCTGTCCGAATTTGCTCTGATCCACACGGTTCGATGAATGGCTTTGCATTGTCTATAAAATTCAAGTAAATATCTCTCTGCCCTTCTCCATTTCCAGCCAATATCCATCTGACACCACCAATGATAATCCTTGTGCGATGTCCCCTTCTTGCTCTGACTTAAATTTCTGGCCGTTCTCTGTGCATGTATTGCTGCCACACTTACCCTCAGCAAAACCTTACTTGCATGTGATATTAATGATATTTATTGTTGGATCATTTCCACATTCTGTTGGGTCCCCTTTTTTTGGAATGGATGTAGGTCTGCATCTCTTATACTAATATGTATACCTCTTACTACATCTGTCTTACCTGCTACAATCTAAGTATGATACAGCTGGACTGCGTGAGCCCTGCCAGAGTGCCTCCTTTACTGATGGACATGTCTGAACTCCAGGCTACCTGGAAACCCCAGTCACTCAACTCCAAGCTTGGTCATGGATTATTTGCCTTGTGGTGTCTCACTTAGCCAGTCCAAAAACTAACCACTGATTGACTGAGTCCATGCCTAACGCACCCTGTCCTCAGACCGGACTCTGGCCTTTCTTGATCTGGTCAACTTGGTTTTTTCCCCACACACACATCAGACATGAATGTACAGGTTCTGTCCCAAGTTTACAACAGAGCCAATTCTAATGACCATGAAAACACAATTCTGATGTAAGTCAAATACCTCATTGTTTTCGCTTTCATTATTATTGTCTTTTATTAGCAGTAGTTTTATAAAGCTAATCTTGTGTGTGTGTGTGTGTGTGTGTGTGTATGTCTTTGGTGATTATAGACATTGCATATAAATGTACAGATCTGCTTGAATGCGTACATGAAAAGGCTATAAAAACCATACAAATCTACTCTCATGACGAAGAAGAGTGGGCGACACTGGGATTCAGTCACGTTCGATA